CTTCTCCTTCTCCTTCTTCTCCTTCTTCTCCTTCTCCTTCTTCTCCTTCTCCTTCTTCTTCTCCTCCTTCTTCTTCTCCTTCTTCTTCTCTTCTTCTCCTCCTCTTCTTTTCTTCTTCTCCTCCTCCTCTTCTTTTCTTCTTCTTCTCTTCTTCTCCTTTTCTCCTCCTCCTCCTTCTTCTTTTTAAAGTATGTATATATGTTAGTTTTTTGCTAGAGCATGTGTGCTGGCTGGAAACAGAGGGAGAGTGAGAAGTCGCCCCGCTCCCCAGGGGGTATGGCCACATTGCGATCCCTTCTCCTCCATTCTCCTCTCTGGATTTTAGGCATGCACACACCTGTGCCCAGCATGTTTCGAGCTGCTGGGTCCAGGACTTGAACCTCAGAGACAGCCATATAGGATTCAACCACCTTAACCCCCATGCCACTTGCTGGCCATAAAATAGTGTTTTAATGCCAGAGAGTGTATGAAAAAGGGAGAGAGAAACGCCCCCCACCCCCAGTGGAGGGAGAGAGAAACCCCCCACCGCCCCCAGTGGAGGCCTGGTCACACTGCAATGCCCTCCTCCGCATTGTTCTACCCCGTCAGTGTCCTGGGCCTGTGAGCACATGTCTGGAGTGCTTTCTGAGAAGCTGGGACTGGGACTAAAATTGTGTGGGCCTGTGGGATGCGGCTCCCCCTGCACAGAGCTCAACTGCTACGGCCATATATTTATTATTTTCACTGAGTTGGTCTTTGTCGGGAACAGGTTGGGTTGGCTTTTCAAAAGTCACATTCCTGGAAAGAATTGAACGACATTGCATCGAAGCCCTCCCAAGAATATATATTTAGAGTGAACAACTTTGATGCTTTGAAAGATATTCAAAACCAACTGAAGGAGAAGATTTTTGCCATTGAGGGTAAGTTAGGGATGGAGCTGTTGAGCTTCAGAAAGCTCAGACATAAATGTGTTTCCTTAAGAACCCAGACCTCTGTGTCAGGGGAACTGACCATCCCCATAGATGTTGGTCCCTAATCTCAGGTTCTCTGAACGCTGAGGTATCCTTTAACCACGAAGCCAAGCGCCATGCCTTCCCCAGGTACGGAGACCAAGAGCGGTAGTTCCTTTGAGTGGGAGATGGCCCAGGAGGGCTTCAGCGCCGTGTTCACCCCTGTGAGTGAGACCCCTGGCTGATGACGGAGGGTGAGGAGGGGACGGAGGAGAGGGGAGGGTGGCTTCAAGTGGATGAGTGGGGTCAGAGCAGGCCTTTCCGTGGAATAGGCTGCCCCCTTGCTCCCACCCGCTCAGCCCTGGAATCCTTTCCTCCCAGGATGGACCAGTTCTGGGGGCTGTGGGGAGCTTCAGCTGGTCCGGAGGGGCCTTTCTGTACCAACCAAACAAGAACCCCACCTTCCTGAACATGTCTGAGGAGCGCGTGGACATGAGGGACTCTTACCTGGGTGAGAAAAGGCCGGGTGGGGCCAGGCGGAGACCAGCTGTCTGGGAAGGGTGAGGGCTGGGGTGGGGAGAGCCTTTGTGCTCAGGCCTGGGCCCTCAGGTTACTCCACGGAGCTGGCCCTTTGGAAGGGGGAGCAGAACCTGGTCCTGGGCGCCCCCCGCTACCAGCACACGGGGAAGGTTGTCATCTTCACCCCTGGGCCCAAGCAGTGGAGGCTGAAGGCCGAAGTCACAGGAACCCAGGTTGGTAGGAGGGAGCTAGTGGGACATGAGGGTGGGCAGGGTGGCCAGGGAAGGAGATGGGAGGTCCCAGGGCCTGGGGAGAGGAGGGACCTGCCCAGAGCAGTGTGGGCAGGAGCAGGCAGGACCAGGCAGGACAACTTCTGCCTCTGCTTCCAGACTGGCTCCTACTTCGGGGCCTCCCTCTGCTCCATGGACGTGAACAGAGACGGCAACACGGACCTGGTCCTCATCGGGGCCCCCCACTTCTATGAGCAGACCCAAGGGGGCCGGGTGTCCGTGTGCCCTCTGCCCAAGGTGGTGAGTGGCTGAGGCCTGGGTGGGTGGGTCTGGGTGTGGGGAGGAGGGGTGGCCTGGGCTGGGGTCTGGCACTGGTTTCATTCTGCAGCAGGGAAGGTGGCAGTGTGTGGGCGTTCTCCGTGGAGAGCCGGGCCACCCCTGGGGCCGCTTTGGGGCAGCTCTGACAGTGCTGGGGGACGTGAATGGGGACAAGCTGGCTGTCACTCCCTCAGCCTCCTCCCTGCTGCTTCCTATTTCAATGGCCACCGGAAAACGCTCTGCTCCCCCCTCATCTTACCTTTCTTTCCCGGCGCTGGGAACTAGCAGGCAGCAGGGAGGACCCGTGGAATTTGCGAGATGGAAACACTAACTGCCACGCTCTGCTTTGTACGGGGACACGATTCCTGAGGAGCTTCTCCACCCAGGCCTTGGGAACCCCCAGCCGCTTTTCAAGGCACACGGGCCAGGCATCAGTAAACTTATTTTACTGATGAAATCTGGGGACATGGGGAAGGCAAGTGGCTTGGCTAGCGTAAGGCCGGAGTGGATCGGGAATGGTGAAGGAGGCTCCAGCCGCCCAGTTTCTGGCCAGTGCTCGGGCTCGCAGTGGCTCCCTGTGCTCACCGCTTTGGGTCTAGCTGCCTCGCTCTGCCGGTCCTCTGCTCTCTCCATGTGCCTGGATGCAGTCTGCTTTTATTCTCTTCCTGCCATCAGCCATCCCACCAAACGCTCATGGCGGCAGGAGCCCTCCACCCAAAGGAGCAGGGTCCCTGAGAAGAGAAGGCTGCTTTCCTTGGCCCAAGTCACGAAAGCGCCAAGGAAAAGATAGGCAGCAAATCGGAACAGGCGTTTCTCCAGATAAGAGAGACACAGGGCCAATACGCAGACGAAGGGTGCTGGCCATCACTCGTTATATCAGCCGTCGGCACATCAAAATGAGATACTACTTCAGCCCCACCAGAACGGCTGAACCCAAAGACTGCACATGGCAGAGTGCTAGTGAGGTGGAGAATCTACTACCTGGTGGTCAACATTTAAGATGGTGAAGTAGCTTTGGAAAATAGCCTGTCAGTTTCTCTGAAGGTTAAACACAGAGTTGCCTGGATCCAGCAACTCCACTCCTAGAGAGCTGAGAACGCGAGTCCACACAAAACCTCGTGCGTGAATGTTCTTTGCATCATTATCCATGATAACCAAAAGGAGGCAGCGATTAGAATGTCTATCAGCTAATGAGTGGATGAATAAAATGTGGTCCCCCCATACAGTGGCACATCGCGTGGCCACAAAGGAATGAAGTACTGGTCCGTGCTGCATTACGGAGGAACCCGGAGAACAAGCTAAGTGAAAGCAGCAAGTCACAAAGGCCCGCCCACCGTGTGATTCCACTGACGTAAACCGTCAGACCACGGGGTCCACGGAGACAGAAAGTAGATTAGTGGCTGCCGAGGCTGTTATGGAGGGGAAGTGAGGGGCATGTGGGTGACAGCTAATGGGTGAAAGGTTTCATTTTGAGGTGATGGAAAAGTTCTACAATTGGTTATGGTAATGGTTTCACAACTCGGTGAACATACGGAAAAATCATTGAGTTATATCATTTAAAGGGATTATAGTCTCTATAAATTATGTCTCAGAAAAGCCATTAGCCCGCCTCCCCAGAAGTTGTCAAGAAAGGTCCCTTCATCTTGCCGCTTTCCAGCTGTGTGATCTTAAGCAAGGTCCTGTCTGTGCTGTTTCCTCATCTGTAAAATGACGATAATAAGAGCCGGCCTCACTGGGCTGCTGCCGAGAGGAGGAAGTGAGTTAGTGTATAGGACTTGCTTAGAACACTGCCTACACATAATGGGTTTTATAGTAGTGTAATGGAGTTTTGTTCTAAGTTTTGCTAATGTAGCTTAACGACTGAAGGGAATCTAAAGAAAAGGGTGCGGGACCAGCAGTTAGCGAAATGGCTATGTCGCTGGACTCCCACGTAGCCAACCGCAGTTTGAGTCCCGGACCCGGTGGCTTAAACTCACGCCGGGCGCGTGTGCACGCGTGTCCAAGATCTCAGGAGGGGAATGGAGGAGAAGGGATTGTGGCGTGGCCATGCCCCCTGGGTGGTGATTTTTCGCTTTCTATCTCTCTGTCTCTCTCTGCCTTTCTGGCGAGCGCACGTGCCTTATAGCAAAAATTTGTCAAAAAAAAAAAAAAAGAAAGACAGAAAGAAAAGGGTGCGAGAGCTTGGTGACCGTAATGAGGCCCGCGTGTCGCCATCAGACTCATTCGGTCTACACAAAATTTGTTTTAACTTCCGCTGGCTGCCGTGACTGAGAGGTAGACCTGTGTAGACCCTTGACTATAACTATTTAGTGGGTTATCCCCTCAAGGCCTGAAGAGGAGGCCTTTCTGCATTCGCCGCCTCACCTTCCTCCTCCTCCTTTCTGCCCCATTGTCTGTCCCATCACATATTGGTTGGGAAGAGCTTGCATTGTCCTCTGCAGGTCCCCACGCCAATGTGAGGACATGGTAATGGGTGCAAGGATCCCGATGTTGGCTGGCCACCAGACTGTGAAATTTCTCCCCACCTATCCTTTCCAGACTCCCTCTCCCTTAGTAATTGGTAAATTTCTCTTTTTTATTTTATTATTACTGTTTGTTTTGTTGTTTGTTTTTAGGGCACGTGCACTTACCAGAGACAGAGACAGAAAACTAGAAATCACCCCCCAGGGGAGATGGCCACACCATAATCCCTTCTCTTCTTGGGATTTTGGACATGCAAGCACATGCACCCGGCTTGAGTTTTAAACCACTAGGTCTGGGATTCAAATGCGGTCAAGTACGTGGGAGTCCAGCAATGTAACCATTATGCCATCTGCGGGTCCTTGTTTGTTTTTGTCAGAGAGTATATGTGCTTGCGGAGAGAGAAGGAGAAAGCCGTTCTCCACGGGGCATGGTCACACCCCAATCCTTTTTCCTCCATTTCTCCATCACCAGGATTTTTGGGCACCCATGCACACAAGCCTGGTGTGCTTTTTGAAACTGTTGGGGCTGGGACTTGAACCACAATCTGGCTACCTACAGGGCTTAACCACTGTGCTATAGGACTAGCCCCTTATTAGCACTAGTTCCAATGGTGCCCAGGGATTTAAAGGGCACATTTTCTGAGAGACTGGGCATTACAGGAGCAATGGAAACCAAAGGGAAAGGCCCCATAGGGGAGGCAGTACCCCAGAGGGTAAAATCTGAGTGTGGTGCAGCCTCTACCCATCCCAATTCAACCCTCCTGCCCTTTAAAGAGACAGGGTGACAACAGATAGCAAGAAAGGACCTTGGGTTTGGGGCCAGAAGACCTGATTTCAGGTCTGAGATAGGCCTCTTACATTCGCACTGTCTTCCAACCCTTCCTCTCTGGAATCTGCGGAATGGGAGGTGGGGGATGAGCTCCAAGGTCCGAGGTCTGTTTCAGCCCAATACTCAACGCAGCATGTTTCTGACTGCTGACCTGTCCAGGCACTGTTCTAAAACTACGTGAATTCGTTTATCTAATGCCCGTGGCTCAACACAAGGCCTTCCCAGCCCCGGATGAAAGATGAGCAAACTGGAGCACAGAAGGGTTGAACCCTTGCCAAAATTTCAGCATTCATAGGGGATGGAGTCAGAATGGAAGCAGAGACTGAGTAAATGAACAGACAACACGGGTCACCACGGCATCCTTCCAATCTCCACGTCTTCATTGTTTTCTTAGGAATGATTCCTAGTCCCCATTCCTACCTCCTTCTACATTTTTTTTTTTAAGTTTGTTTCTTTCCCTCTCCCATGTGTGAGAGAGCTGGGGTGGAGGTCAGGGGTGGGGAGCACCCTAACAGGGTCTTCATGCTGCCATCCACCCTCGGCCTCAGCCAGCCCTGCAGCACGGGCCTGGGCCTGGGCCTGCCCAGCGTGTTCGGGGAGGACTCAGACA